CTAATATATTTTTTATCATTATATATTAATTATATTTGCAGTCATCATAATTTTGTATTGATTTTAGTTAATTTAGGTCCTTCTTACATGAGTAGATTAATTAATTAAAATTTAGTTCTAGAGAAACTACAAAATTTCACGGTTTCAGTTAAGGCTAAGTTATTTTGAATTCAAATCAATACAATCTCTGTGATACAATACTTGGACTCAAGTATATTTTCCTACTTGTTAACAAATTGTGCACTTGCAGTATTTCAAACAAAAAAATATTTTCGTGACAAATTTTTGGCGTAGATGTCGAGGATTGTATTTTAATTTCATTTCATTTCATTTACCTTGACACTAATTCGAACTTTTTGATTTTATTTTTATCTTGTTTTAGTTTTTTATATCAATTTATTTTTGTGCTTCTATTTTCTCTCTTTCAGGCATTTTCTGCTAAATTTGAGAAATGATGAGTTGATACAAGTTGAAATGGAATTTGAATGTACTTTTCACTGTAGGCAATTAGAAACAAGAGAATCACAGCTCATAGAGATGGCTAATGCAAGAAGTAATCCGGTTATTGAAGTGAATGAAAAGGTAGTGGTCGATTAAGGAAATATGCTAGTTAGGGACTTCATGACTCCACAAATTATTCAGAATCAATCTAGCATCGTTTATCCTCATTTTGGGTAGTCGAATTGTCAATTGAAAACCAATGTCATCTAATTATTTCAGAACTGATATCAATTTTATTGCAGAGTTGATGAGAATCCACATACACATGTCTCTCAATTTTTGGAGATGGGTAAAAGCAGTTGCATTGTCGACTAACACTTTTATTGTAAGTTTCTTGAAAATGTACGGTTTCACTTGTTATGGTACACCCCGTGCAATTATTAGTGATGGGGGTAAACACTTTTACAATCGTCAATTTGAGTCCTTGTTGGCTAAATATGGCATTCGACATTGTATAGCTATCCTCTATCATCTATCCTTGAGGTGATGGTGAGTTCTTCAAGAAAAGATTTATCTAAAAAACTTGATAATGCCTTATGAACTTATAAAACAACTTTCAAGACCCCTATAAGCATGTCTCCTTATTGTTTGATTTTTAGGAAAGCATGTTATTTGCTAGTTGAATTGGAGCATCGAGCTTATTGAGCAGTTAAGAACCTAAATTTTAATTTGAAAGTAACCGATGAAAAGAGACTGCTTCAACTAAATGAGATGGATGAGTTTCGATTGAAAGCTTATGAGAACGCGAAATTGCATAAGGAATGCACAAAACAGTAGCATGCTATTCATATTTAAATAAGAAAGTTTGAAGTTGGACAACAAGTTTTGCTATACAATTTACGACTCAACCTTTTCCCGGGCCAGTTGAGATTACGGTAATTGGGACCGTACACAATTACTCAAGTTTTTCCATATAGGGCTGTTGAGATTACTTATGAAAGCAAATGAACATTTTAAGTTAATGGACAATAGTCAAAGTTATATTGGAGCGGTGGATCCTCGAAAGAAAAGTCTACGGTTCATCTTGTAACACCAAAGTAAATAAACCACAAGTAGAGCTCTAGACTATAAATCGAGCTCTTGATGGGAGACAACCCATTTTCTCATCCCTCATCTTTTATTTCTATTGCTCATTGCATTGCATATAGTTTTAGGATTTGTCTTAGTATTTTCGGACCCTATTTAGAAAGTCAGCATTTACATGATTTTTAACTCGTTTTAGGTAGTTTCAAATTCATTATATGTGCACAAGCACTAAATTTAGGCTTAAATGTATAATTTTAATCATAAAAGCACTTAAACATAACACACACAACATATAGTTTCAAAAAAAATCAGCTTCTGGTTAACTGGACGGGTCCCAGCTTTAACAACCACATGCTCGCCCAGCCAAGTTAAAGGCCAGCAGGCCCTTAACAGCCAAATTGGGCGGCTACCCACAAGAGAGAGAAAAATTTAAAAAATCGATTTTAAAAAGGAAAAACTAGGAGTGGATGTGGTATAGTTCATTTCGATTCCAAAAAGAACCGAACTTCGAACCAAACTGAGGTGAGTACGATTGTGGATCTTATTAATGGAACCATTGGCTCTGTATCTAACTATGGAACTGAATCGGACCCATACCAATAGGTTTTGGTTTGGTCCAGTCTGGTTCTTTACATTGAAATTATATAAACAAAGTGTTCACTAATAAAAAATTTGAAAGTTGTTGCTTGCTATTAAACGAAATCGAATAAGTGGTTTAAGCCACATATTTATCAACATTGTCAAATACATAATTCTACACACTATTAATAGAATTCAACTATTAAACGAGCATGCTATTAATCAAGAATTCCAATTAAGTCTACTTCGAAGTTGCAAATTCTCAGTAAAATTGCTTTCAAATTGCAAATTTCCAAGTGACCAATGCAGCTTGGATTCTAAATTCAAAGCAATAAGTTAACAATTAAATGTTTAAATCCTATATTGCAATAAAATTAACAATCCACCATAACAAAATTAAACTTAAGAACTCTTCAATGTCTTCTCCAACTATTTGCATCCATAGTTATCAGACTCAACCTTATCATTGACTTGGATAAGTCATTGGGTCACTAGGTTACTGGTTCAACTGTATCATTGCTTATTTATAGATCCGAACAAAAAATATTTCTTAAGTGAAAATTTTATATTTTTAAGGGTATTTTTATAAAAATGTTGTATACTTATTATATGTTATTATTACTCTTAAATTACACAAAAGTTAAAATGGCATAGTGACTAGCAAGAGGATCAATTATAAAGTTTGTACAGGTTTGAATCCAAAACTTGCATATTTTTGTATATGCTATATAGTGTTTGCAATATGGGCTTGATCGGGCCGTGCTGATGTCTAAATTTTATTAAAGGGAAAAATTCATAACTAAGAGGTTAAGAATCATCCATTTCAAAACTAAGAACAAAAGTTACAAATTTCAAAAATCAGATATTTATTAAATTTTATTTATGATTTAATTAATCAATTATGCCCCAGTTTAGCCCCCATTCCCATTCTCATTCTTTTTATTTCTTTTATTTTCAACCACATAAATTTTCATAAAATAATATTATACACAGATAAAAAAAATTTCATTCTTTTTCAACCACACATTTTTCAAAAAAATACTATTCCAATCATTAAAATTTGACAATAATGGGGGCCAAACAGGGACTATATATTTTATTGATTAAATATATTAAGGTCACAGATTTATGTAATTTGGTCACAAATTAACGATTTAGTTAGTCACATATTATTTTTGGTCACAAATCAAAATTTTTATAAGTCACAAATTATTTTATGGTCACGATTCAAAAATTTTATAGGTCACAATTTGTTCATCGATTGCAAGTCAAAAATTTATAAGTCACGATTTATTTATTGGTCACAAATCACGAACGTAATAACTGAACTTATTATACAATTACAAATTATCAAATTATCGATCACAAATTAACAATTTTTTAAGTAGAGGCGGTGGTGGTTGCCCGCGGCGGCGGCGGCGGGTGCTGATCGCTTCTCACGACTATAGCACTCGACTGCTCCTTCAATAGAGAAAATGGAGAAGGGAGGAGGGAGAAAGAAAGGAAAGAGAATTTTAGGTTTTGATATTATTATTATAATATTATTATTAATATTTAAAATATATAATATCATCCGATTCTTGAATAAAAATACATTAAACTTGATTTTTGAAATTGATACTTAAAAAACATGGTTGAGTGTAATTTCCACTTTATTAAAACTGGCCACTTCAGACGATCTTTGATTGGTTCTTGACCGGTTCATATGCTTTTAGATCAAAATGTGCAAATTGGCCTGATTCTCTATCTGATTTGGTGTGTTCCAAGCCTGTTTAATAACCATGTCTAGATCAATCCTTTTAAAGAGTCGGTCCATCCCTTGCTTTGATTCTACATCACAAAAGTTAAGGTTCAAATGTTGACAAAAAATTTACATGTGTGAAATTACATATAAAATATAATTTTAACTATACTTACAGTTAGATCATCAGTCAAGTTCCACAACCATTAAATCATTCTTTTTGTGAGTACGTTTCCTAATAAGCTCTACATTACATTGAAACTTACAAAATCTCAATTAAAATAAGTATAAACAAAAATAAATATATAATAAAATAAGCTAGAAAAAAATATATTCTAATTACCAGTTTCCAATTGGACCAATTCGTCATGAAACTCTATCTCTTCAATGCCCACTCCATATAATCGGTCTCCAATTGCTTCCCCTCTATGGTTTGGTACCAACAAAAAATTCAATATCCTTTTATGCAACACCCAATTTTTGTCAATAAAATGAGTGGTGATAACCATGTAACTAATATTTTATACTGATGTCCAGCAATATGTTGTAAGGCACACCCTTTGCTTGCTAGACATGAGTTTACCTTTCAATAACTCCTCCTCCTCACTTTAGAGTTTCAATATATCCCTAGTAACTGTTCTACGAGATGGAATATCAAGTTTAGGGCAAGCATTTCCCATGAAATTTCTAAACTCGATGCGCATAGCTAAACGACAATTTATCCACAATAATCATTTTCACCTTCACCCTCCTACATGCTTATTTGTTAAACACCATAGCAGCAATATTGACAATACCACTGTCACTACCATCATTATCATTTAATTGTCTAGTTAATACCTTTTGTTTTTCATCCATTTTGGTACTCTTATATGTTTGACAATTTCTAAAGTATTTCCACAAGCCAGAGGTACTAATCCATGATCATGGTTAAAAAATTGAAGAGAAAAGGGAATTGGAAGAGTGAAAAAGGAAAAGGGATGTGATTACGGTTAAAAAATTCATATAATATTGATGCTTTATATTTTACCAAAAAAGAAAAAAAAATGAAAGGAAAAAACTTATGTCTTGCAAAGCACCAAGAAATGGACCGAAACCGAACAGTTCTCGATTATATATCCCAAAACCGAATTGTTCTTTAGACGAACCAAACAGGACCAGATTTCGATAAACTCACTACTTCATAATTCCCACTACTATGAAGAAAAACACACAATTCCTCGCTACTTAACGCGCGCGCGCTCTTCCCTTCTACACGGCACTCACACAAATACAAAACACACGGTGCTTATCTCTCAAACTCACGGCATATACTGGGTCACGGCACCTTCAATCGGCTTCATACTTCACACAGCAGTTTCCCAGCATTCACGGCACTCGTCTATATTCACAGTCATCTTCAAAACTCATCAAGAAGGCACTCAATCGACAATAGGCATTGAGTTTAAGAATACACCCTTCAATTTCATTCTCCAATCATCCTCTAAGCAAATAACATTCAAGGTATGTGTAATCCTACTTCTCTTTCTTTTGCTTCAAAACATGGTGATTATTGTGTCTTTTTTCTTCTTCTTCTTCTTCTTCTTCTTCTTCTTCTTCTTCTTCTTTTTCGTTCCCCCCAAAACAATTGAATGATTAAGAAGGATTATGGGATTAGGTAGATGTGGAGAATTTGATTGTGAGTTTACTTTGTGAAAATTGAGGCTTTGATCCAATTCCCAATTTATTTAAATTTTAGGGAAAAATTGGCTGCATTCCATATGTTTGTTAAAATTCCCAAGTACAAATTTATGTCAATTTTGGGCTCATTTATCAATTGAAATCGTTGCTACACATTTGGGCACCTTTTGGGTCGAAAGTCAGTGAAATTGATTTGGAAAACACCTAGGCCTCTTTGCACACCCTGGCATGACACGGCAAGGCACAGCTCACCAACTTCGTCTAACCCAAACAACCTCCGTTTGACCTCAAATTTGAACATGAATAAGATCAATATATAATCTTTCATATGCCCAGAGATTGTTTAGAAAAATTCACTTTTTCTTCACGTTTTTTGATGGTGAAAGTCCTTGGTCGGTCTTGGGTTAAAACGAAAATTTACCTCTTTTATGTTCATTTAGGGAATGTGAGCTGCATTATCTTCGTCCATTGGATACATACCTATATCATGAAATTTCTCGAGCATGGCATGAGTTTTCACACTTTAGTGCATGAAAGTTGACATAGAGTTATGTAGTTTGGGGGTATTCTCCACGTTATTTTACTTTTATGTTTGTTGCCTATTATGCTGATATATTCTGTCTTTTATATCTACAGGTAAAATGCCACCCAAAAGAAAAGCTATCGCTCCAAAAAAAGGGAAATCCATAGTGGGTTAAAACTTCGAACCTTTGTTAGAGAGCCAACAAAAATCTAAATGGAGGAGTGCAGCGATCCCTAAATGAGGAAACACGAGGAAATTTTGAGTCTAGGTGAAAAGACAAGAAGTTCTATCAAGAGATTAGTTGATGATTTTCAGGGAAGTCTATTAGAAAGGATTGTCCACCGCGGTGATCGGCGCAAAGTTGTTGGAACTCCTCATGCAGCTTATCCTACTTTGGTGAGGGAGTTCTTCGCCAACTTCAATGCTGAAATTGATGCCCCAGAGTCATCACACGTGAACCAAACATGGGTAAGAGGATATGGGATTGGTGGCCCGATTCTTATACAGTAGAGGTAATGTATGGCCGCTTCTTACGAATAGATTCATGAATAAACAGTTGACCTCTGAGCTGAGACACCTTTATATCTTCGTCTTCACCAATACTGATCCTACAATCCAGCGAAGTAGGTTCAATGAAGAAAGGGCCTAACTACTCTATCATCTGGCACAGGGACATAAAATTGATTTAGGATCCTACATCTTCAGTTTCGTACGAGAGTTGGCCGCATCGATCCATCCTCAGTGTAGTATCATGTCTCCCTTCCTTATCAGTGGGATTTGTTTGGCTGTCGGGGTACCACTTTTGTCAAATGAAAAAATTGCTCCCTAGATACCCCAATCAGCAGAAGGACAATAGAAAATTCTGAACCTCAGCTCAGAGGGGGCAGAGAGAGTACGTAATCCTGAGCAAGCACATCCACCACTATAGTATGCTCTAGATACCAACACAGCCCTCCTGAGTAGACAGTTGGCTCAGATGCAGGTAACCCAGGTGGAGCTAGGTACATTAGTTGGCCAAATAACAGATGTTTTGGAGGCGATACAGACACAGCTAGACATCCAGAGAGAGCTGCTGAGAGTGAGTGGCCAGCTACAGGGTTTCCAACAAAGTGATGACGGGGCATGATATGACCATAGAACCATCACATCACGTATGCTTACAATCAGGTGCACAAGCAGATGCTACACTTTGAGAGTCAACTGGAGACAATAGACAAAAATGTCATCTAGCTAGCGAGGACCGTTGACTCCTTGAGGCTCACTACTCATACCAGTCAATCGGACAAGCCATATCCTGCTACTCATCCACATATACCCCGAGGAGTATATGATTCCTTACTCATTTATTTATGATTATTTTTACTTCTACATTGGGGCAACGTATTATTCTCGTTTGGGGTGGATGGACAAGTATCATGATATTGATACTAATTATATTTGACATTTCAACTACTAATCAGGTCTGTATAACTATTTAACAGTCTAAAAAATTGTAAAATTCAAAAATAGTATCAAGCTTAGCATTGACTAGCTTGCCGCCTGTGATAATATTTAATTGAATTGAGTATAGCTTTAGTTAGAATACTGGACAACACCATAACATGTGCCTTTACTTGAGTACTTATTATTGTTAAATTTAATTATTTGAGCACATAGTCATATTGACTTATCACTTATGTTGGGGGTATGACTTGATTATATGAATTAACTATTGATACTGTTGAACTATACTTAAGTGAATTCCTGAATTCCTTAGTATAGAAACCAGTTCGGCCACTTCAAAATTTAATTTCAACAAGGTAACTTCCATTTGGGCCATGATATGCACGATTTTTAGAGATTTTTCGTGACTCCTTGGAATATAAATATCAACTCTCAAAACATAATTAGAGTAAAAGGATTGATTGCTAAAAAAGGTAAAGAACACATCAATATTGAATTTCAAGAACCTCAAGATTGAATTTAAGAATTCTCGGGTGATGAATAACTTTTATTTCTTTTACTTTCTTTTTTACTACATGTTAGGCTAAACAAATATAGTGCTAGGATTACGATGAATTTTGTATCAGGAACCTCTAATTTTTCTTTTTGACATTCAAATACGTTTTCAATTATTGAATGATTTTCATGAAATTATCTTCTTTATAATTATGTGCACAATGATTGTATAAATATTGTGGCTTGTTTTATCCTCGAAAGATGAAAAATAAGTTAAACATGGAAATCGTCGTAGAGTCTGATAGGGGATAGAAATATACCTCTATACTCTACGTGATCTTTAAGTATTCATAAAATTTTAATACATTCTTATATATTCACATCCGTTAGGTCACATGTGAAAATATGTTTAATTCTACTCGAGAACGATTGTTAAACAATTTAGGAAAGTTGATCTTCATAATTGAATCTTGTTCCCAAATTGTAAAGTTAGGGTTAAAGAAGATTGAACAACAGGGATTCGGGATCTTAGTGCATTTTTTTTAATCATTATATATGAATTAAATTTGTCTTCATCATAATTTTGCATTGATTTTAGTTAAATTAGGTCTTTCATTTATAAGTGGATTACTTGATCACAATTTAGTTTTAGAAAAATTACAAAATTTCATAGTTTCGGTTAAGGCTGAGTTATTTTGAATTTGAACCAATACAGTCTTTGTGAGTACAATACTTGGACTCAAAATTCAATTTACTCATTGTTAACGAATCGTAACTTAAAGTATTTCAAAAGAAACAAATATTTTTGTGACATTTTTTCTTAATCTTAACGTGGTTCTTCTCTGTAAATTTTTAGTGTATTTTATGATGTAAAGAGTTTTGCATATTTGACAACCACTAAAAATTGCGTTGATGTTATAAAAACTTGTGAGCATTTGGATGTCAATCTGGTAGATCAAAGAGGTGTGGGTAATGTTGAGGAGGGTGTTGAAATGAGGTTAGATGAGCAGCAATGTGAAGATCAGCCTATGGATAATGTTAAGGAGAGTGTGCAAATGATGGATGAGCCATTAGTTGAGGATCAGATTGTTCATGGATCCTATGTCGATGTGCAGACTGAGGAAATGACACATGTTAATGAGAAAATTGTAGTACAAGGTGGAGAGTATAGAAAAGTGGATGGGGACGGTACGGAAGAACCTAAGAGAGACAAGAGTGGAGAGTGTATAAGGGTTGAAGGGAGTGTTTATTCTGTTGATGTGGATGTGGTAGACCAGGAAAGTATGGATATAGTTGATGATGGTGTTCAAAAGAGGTCAAATGAGCAGGCCATTGAAATTGTTGTTGAAGATGCTGTTGAGAACGATGAAGAGCAGGCTACTAACATCGTTCTCGAACATGCGGGTGACAGTGTTGATGAATATGTTGCTGACAATTTTGAGAAACATGCTACTGACAATCTTGATGAGCTGCCTACTGATAATGTTGAAGGGGTACATGTTGATGATGGTTTATTAGAACACTTCACTGATCCAGAGTATGAGCAGAATGAAGAAGAACATGGGGACAATGATGATGACGACACATTTTTCAGGCTAAGTGAGGGATTTGACATCGAGGGTGGTAACACAAGCAACGTACAGGATAAAGAAAGAAAGGGATGGAAGTGATGTTGGAACGGATTATCTCGACTCAGATGATCTTAGAAGTTTGCCCAGTGATGAGGAACATTAAGGTTCATCCACAAGGAACAAAAATGAAAGCTGGTTCAATCCTGCTGCAGATATGGAGGATCCCAAATTTAAGATTGGTAATCATGCTAAAGCTTTTTAATAGGTGTATCATAGGTTCCTAACCTTTGCAATTAGTTGCATCACACTTCCAAAACCTTTTGACGTAGTTATGTACAAGCCCCTAAACATACTTTTAGTTCCATTTAAAGTACCATTCCTTTTTCCAAACTTGCATAGTAGGTCCCTAACCTTTTGAATTAGGTGTATCATTCTAATCCATATCATATGCAGTCCTACAGTTGATGTTAACAATAATGCTAAGATTTTGTTTTCATTCCTGTTACAGGTCTAAAGTTTGATAATGTGAAGATTTTGAGATCAGCCATTCTACAATACTCAATCAAAAATGCTAGGGACATACATTATGTGAAGAATGAGGGAAGCAGGGTTAGGGTACGGTGCCAGAATGGATGTCCATGGGAGTTGTATGCTTATCAACAGGCTGATAAAAGTTTAAGGATAAACACATTTAGGGATGAGCATACATGTACTATGGTATGGCAAAACAAAAAAGTACATGCTGGGTACATGGCTAAGAAATATGTACACAAGTTTAGGTCTGACCTGAAGATGTCAATGGGCAGTTTCGTAGAGACAGTTAAAAAGGATTGCATGTATGAGATATCAAAGTACCAGTTCTATAGGACTAGGGCAAAGTGTGCCGAAGTGGTTATTGGTATTGTTGCTGAGCAATACAAAATATTATGGGACTACGGTGAAGAGTTAAAGCGGACAAACCCTGGGAGTACAGTACAAGTGGAGGGAGAAGGGAATACTTTCAAAAGAATTTATATCTGCATAGGGGCATGTAAAGAGGGGTTTAAGGCTGGGTGTAGGCATGTAATTGGACTGGATGGGTGTTTTTTGAAAACTGGACATGGGGGCCAACTTTTGGCGGCTGTAGGTATTGATGCAGAAAATTCTATGTTCCCGTTAGCATGGGCTGTGGTTGATGCTGAAAATAGGACCAATTGGACCTAGTTTCTTGAGATGCTAGTGTTTGATGTAGGGATGCACAACCCAAGAGCATGGACATTTATTTCAGACAAACAAAAGGGGCTAGTTGAATCTATACACACGGTATGCGAGGGAGCAGAACACAGATGTTGTGCAAGACATTTGTACAGTAATTTCACTCTTAGCCATAAGGGTTTGACTCTAAAAGTTGCAGCCAGGGCGACCACAGTGCCTGAATGGAGAACTGTGATGAATGATATAAAAGATGCCAGTGAAGAATGTGACGCCCCGAACTTAAGTTTCGAGGGTCACGTACTAAACATAATAACTTCTGCCTTTGGTACATGTAAATATTCTTAAATAGAAGTATTTCATGTTAAGAACTTATTTTCAACTCGGTAAAATAATTCTTATAAAATTTGATAGCCGACAAAAGTGCATATCAACAATAAATTATACTTTACATATACGGCCTCGGCATTATCAAGATTAGTTGAGGCAGCAAGTTTGACAATTTTTATAAAATTCATCCCAACTCCATTTTCTATGAAATTTGCGGCATTAGAAAGATAATTTCAAGTAGTTTTCTAGGTTAAAATATGAAGATTTTCCAAGATCATATGATATAGACGTTTTACTGAAAACAGTGAAGTATTACACAGGAAATCCAGATTGACCCCTTGACGTTAAAACCTTGATAACTCAGGCCATAGATATCCAAATTGAGTGATTCCTTCGGCCATATTTGGAAAACTCAAAGAGGAAAACAGAAATATTTTTAGAGTCTCAAATGGAAGTTTATAGAGTTAGAAACATCGTTTTGAAAATGACTCCAGAAACTGTCCCGTTTCTACCTTTTATCACTTGCAAGGAAAATAAACTATAAAAACGTCTCTTAACATAACATGAAAGATATAATTACAAAATTTACTATTAATACCATATTACATCATGTCATGTACATATTTTTACATAGTACCATAAGAAAAATAAATGGAAAAACAGTCATCGAGCAAAACATACAAAAGAAAACTTTCGGTACAAAACATCTGTCCTTAATCCATCATCGCTTAAGCCAACTAACTTCCATCAATTCAATGATCATGGATCTGAAAATTTAGCATAACATACTATGAGTATAAGAAATACTCAGTAAGATACTATGCTTGGATTTTTATCATGATAATACTACACAAAAGAATGCAATCAAACCCATACTTGCACATTCCGGCTTGCCGGTGCCCTTTGGACTTGTCCTAAGGCATAAATAGATATCTAACTTTGTAGACTTGTCCACCATAATCATATTATGGTTTTTCATGCATAGTTTAAGCATAAATATTACCATGAAGATCATACCCCTTAAGCATAGAAAGTATCTTACCGTAAAACTTGAAGATATTCGGTTGAGATGTAAATTGGAAGTGTTAGGTTTACTTCCTTCTCCTTTCCTTCTTATTTTCAGTTTTTGCTCTCTTTTTAAGTGTAAAAGTGTTTTGTAAAATGAAGAAAAACTCTCTATGGCAATGGATATGGATGTATTTATATATATATAAAGATAAGGATAAGGCTTGATATTTTTTTATTTTTTTCTTCTTTTCTTCACTCCACCGCCTCACCCCTTTTTTTTCCATTTTTTTTCTTGTTTCTACACATGTTTAGTCTATTGTCTAAGTGTATGGTGATGATGGATGACAAGTGGGTTGATTATAGAGTAATAAGTGGCCTTCAAACCTATATTTACAAAGGAAGCCTCTTATCTTTTCAACTAATATAATCTAAACCCGCTAACTTTCATTGTTAGCAAAGTGTATCCCAAATTTAAACTTATGTCTAACTTACATATTCAAAAATTGTAGATTATAGAATAATTTAATCATTTGGTCAATTGAAGTCCCAACAAAATAATCCACTTCATTCAAATTCAAACTTGACTTAAGTTTCGACAAACTAATGATCACTTCATACATACACAACCTTTGACACTTCATGTCTACATTCATTAACTACCTCTAACATTAACCACTACAAAGGTGGTGTCCCCTTTTTCCTTATGGCCAAAAATAGTATTAAAAGTTAAATCGCTATCTCAAAGAAATTTAAACGAGCATAAAATTTCGGAGTATTACAAAGAAGCATTTAATTGGTTTAGTGAAAAATCAGCTGCCCAATGGAGTAGATCACACTTCCAGGACCACTCAAAATGTGATATATTGCTGAATAACTTGTGTGAGGCATTCAACTCATCTATTTTGGTTGCTAGAGAGAAGCCTATATTATCAATGCTTGAGAAGATTAGACATCAGCATATGCTCAAAATGAATGCTAAAAGAGAGGCGGCTGAAAAATGGGATCATCGTTTTGGTCCAAGAATTATGAATATCATTGAACAAGCTAAATCAAATGCAAGATTTCTTAAAGCGGACTATGCAGGACCTGAGAAATTTGAGGTCAGTAGTAGGGATGGAATGAGATTGGGTGTGGACTCGATGAAGAATGAGTGTGCTTGTAGAAGATGGCAGTTAACAAGCATTCCATGTCAACATGCAATTGCAGGAATGCTATCTAGAAACATTGGCATACTAGATTATGTTGATGTATGTTATCAAAAAATGGGTTATTTGAGGTCATACACTCCAGTTATTCAGCCGATGTCAGGACCAGAACTATGGCGAGAATTGGGGAAGCATCCTTTGAATCCACCTGCGAATAGAAAGCAAGCTCGGAGGCCAAAAAAGTTGAGAAAAAGATCACAAATTGAACTCCTTGCTGGAGTGAAGATGGGTAGGAGTGGTATGAAGACGACTTGTAGGAGATGTGGGGATGCTGGCCATAACAAGAGGACGTGCAGAGATAATCTTCCTACAGATCAGCCTTCGCAAGCACAGTCACAGCCTTCACAGCCGCAGTCACAGCCACAACTTTCGCATCAAAAGAAAAGGGAGTCTACATCCAAGAAGTCCAAGGAAAAAGGCACAAATTGATGAAAGTGAAGTGAAATAGTACTAGTACTAATAGATAAATTTACTGTTTGTTTTTGGGAAATGGCTGAAAAAACTAATGTAATTTCTCAAATTTCTCAATGTGATTTTTGTTTGGTGTTTGATACCGTATGATTCAATGTGTTTTGTTTTTGGGAAATGGTTGAAAATATCTTTTCGTTGCCAATGACAATGGTTTTTGGGTATATATTGTAGTGTTGATACGTGTTTATTGCTTGTATTGTATTCTTTGTTGGTCATCACTATTATATTCGGAAGTCAACAATTGGGACCTCTGTTGCATTTTGTACAAATGTTTGGGACCTATGTTGAGTAATTCTACATAAGTTTGTGACCTATGCTAACGTAGTTACAAAACGTTTGAGACCAATGTTATGTCAAGTATAGAATGTTTGGTACTTATATTGCACCATCAACAAATGTTTTGGGATTTTTGCTGCATTTATAATTAATTCGAACCAAGCATACCACTGGCGAACCAAATTATTAACTTAACCACGTACTTTATTACGTACTTAATATTGGGCTCCCAAATATGGGAAATATAGCCATCAAAACAGCAAATCCAAAATTCCAAACAACCATTCTTCTACTACAGACATCATACAAGAAATCTAACAGTAACACAAGCACAAACATAGACCTAGTTGCAGATCCAGGTTACTACAATCTCTATCACAAATCCTAATATCCGATTTCTCCACACAGAAGTTGCCGTTGATCGAAGGGTCTGGATTTCAGCTTCCATCTCATTTCGTACTCGAAGAAAATTAGGAATCAACTCCTTCGACCTCTCGCACATTGGTGGGTCGAACCAAGCAAAGAAGTTACATCCCTCCACATCTTGACTGCGTGAAAAAGTCAGAAATCACCTTCCTGGGTTCAAGTTGGTCCAGGAGGTCTTCATCTGGAGAGGGTTTCCACATCTACACATGTTCAATTCCATAGTTGTAATTTGAATGAAATGTAAAAGAGAGACAGAGAGAGACAGTAGGGCTAGGATATAAAAAGAAGGGAGGGAAATGCGTTTTGTTGTTTGCGTAGTGGAAAAGATTTGCAATTTCCCATTTTACTCGTGAAGTAACGTTCCATTGGAGTCAAAATGCAGATTTTCGTGTTGACTGACGGGAATTTGGACGGAATGCGTGAAATGGACCAACGCTGCAATTACATATAAAGGTTTGGGACTTCGGCCGCAACAATTAAAGGTTTGGGTATAATCTATAGCGAAATGAAAGGTTTGGGACCGGCGCTGCAATTTCCCTTAAATAAATGGTGAAAATTAATTGTTGACTTTTACTTAAATTAAAATCCAAATTTTAATTCCTATCAAAACTAAAAGAAACTATAAACAAGACAAAGGTATACATCAAGATATTTCGACTGCAGGTGCATGTATAATAGTACCCAAAAAAAAAAAAGAAAAAAAGAAAAAAGCACCAAAGATCTGAAAGAAACAAAAAAGCGATGGAAAAAATACAAATGTCGTGCAACAAATCCTATTACCTGAGCTTTATTCCCATGTTCAAGCAACTCAAAAGAAACATGAAACTCCGAAACTGTAAGAGCAAGATATTATTTAGGTCACCATTATTCTTCAGTTTTCTGATATGCTAAATCCCAAATAGAGATTGCACCTTCTTCGTGTAAGATCTGCTCCAATTGTTTAGCATCCAAATCCACATTGCCATAGATAGGATCCAAATGAAGCTGTTCAACAATATTTTCTCCTCGGTAATTTCCATAATTTTCAATTGCACTAGAAATCGCCTCTCCAACAAATTCATTATTCTGCTCATCCAAATTAGCCTTTCCCTTCTCCAAGATCCTATAAATCCAGTCATGTAGGCTAGCTTCCTGCTGTGTAATTACCCATTCTTGATTCTCATCAACAATTTCTTGATTAATTACCGCAAATGAATCATCTTTACTGTAACTACATGTAGCCTCGTGATCAGCCCTGGATTTCTTGTATTCAGAACCGAACTCCAATTCACTCTGTGGGCATTCTGAGTTATGAGAAGCATAGAGAGTAGCCACTGGCGCCACACTTTCGGACTCGGACTTCCTTTTGTGACTGCTTCCATCTAACAATTCTGCAATGTCTTTGTTTCCTTCTCGTTCTTCTTCTTTGGAGGGTGAGATTTTAAGTGCTTTCTCAATAAGTTTCGAAAGGGCTTCTTCTTGATTAACAACTTTGAACCAGGTTGTGGTTTCCTTAACTGTCATCTTATGTTGTAAGGACCTGGACTGATTCACTAGCCTTCTCAATCTGTCCATGTTGGGGTACATGTGCTTAATAATTGCCGCCAAAACACTAACTTTCCAAGCCTTTTTAAGGTCATGAGGCTTTTTATAAGGTGGTACACCTTGTTCTTGTGCTACCAGCCCTTGATCCCCCCACCAAACTTCATTTCCTTTAGGCCACCAAGGGGGAGGTAACCCTCTTTCCAAAGGGAACCTCCTTTGTGGAGGGACACAGTGTTGCATTAGGGCAGAAAGAATTGAACCTAAAGTAGTGTCTTGCAATTCTTGAAGTAGATGCATGTAAGAAATTGGATCCAAATTGACTTGCTCTACAATCTTAGGCAAGAATTCAGCAATGGCTACCGGAGCATGTTTCTCAAATAACACTTTTTCTTTCCACCACTCCTTTAAACTATCCAATGAGCCACTGACCGGCTTCCCTTTCTCCGGTAAAATCCCATAAACAAAGCCTTGTGCATTACAAACCTCCATAATTTTCACCATGTACTTGAGAAGTACGTGCTGGGCTCGAGACATTTTTTTGTTTCTTAACTGTTCTTGATTGGGCTTTGATTCTGGCTCCAAACTTTCTCTCTGGGCGATGATCTTTTCCAGACGCAACCGGTCCTTCCACATGCGTTTCTTGAGATCATTGTAGCTAATTTCTTCTTCTTCTTCTTCATTTTCTCCCTCTGACTGATCAATAGAACTACTAGGACTAGAGGGTTCAATTTCACCATTAAACTTCACCATCCTTCTTAATAATGTGTGTGTAATATGTAAACTTTTGTGTGTGTATATAGGCAAGGAGAAATCTGTAGTGCGGCTGGGGCACAGTGAACAATTTACGAGATGGAAAGAGGATTTTGTATTTACGTATATACCCGATACCACTACAGATAGGGTGGTCCGTGAGTGTGGTGGGCTTGTGTTGAATTTGAGGAATTAGTTGCAGGAGTTTACATCATGTTTTGGCCAAGTGTTGACTTTAAAGGCTTTATTATTATTATTATTTTTTAATTCAAACGAGTTATGAGCAGAGTACTTATTAATAATTGGTACAGAAAAGAATATGCAATTTTGGAAGCTGAACATAAAGCTTGACCTTCATCTGTGAAGGGAAAAATAATAATAATAATAATAATAATAATATTATTATTATTAGCTGAACATAAAGCTTGACCTTCATCTGTGAAGGGAAAAAAAAAAAAAGATAATAATAATCCTAGACAATAAAAATTATAGGACTACATGGAAAAAGTCCTAGCTAGTTATGCTTCCCACTTCTTATTGTCATAACCCTTGGAGCTAAAGAAGTTACTTATTTTAATTCATTTTTATATTTTTAAAATTGAAATAAAATAAATGAAAATGATCAGAAGTGCAAATTGTCTAAACGAAGTCCGAAAACAACCCGCAGAACAACGACTAGCACTCGAAATTTTGAGCGTGAAGTACAATTATGCAATGTGGCAAAGACGTGCATCTCTTGAAGGGGCCAACAACCCTTGAGCCACTTAACATATTTAATAAAAAACACGCCCTTCGGGACATATTCCAGTGGTGCAAAAGACAAAAATGAGATAGTTTTAACTTTGCTGGCGGTCGCAATGTGAGGGTTCGATTCCTAATATATGAAATTGGACTCTTTGTGGGTACCAGTATACAGACAAACTCTTGTTTCATGACTTGTTGGAATACATCCCATGATTTACCTCCCTCACGATTCTCCAGGGACGGGGTGGTGGGGACCCTCAAGATTGGGGTTCAACCTTTAAAAAACACTTCTAAAACGAGTAACTTATTTTTAACATTAATCAAGAAAAGAAATTTAAAGCTTTTCTTATTTACTTGCTCATTAAGTGTAGCCAAACATGACTAGTATGCTTATTAAGTAGTGATGCAACATACTGAGGTTGCATGCATGTGAGACACATGGTTCGATGGTGGCCTTAAATTTAATGTTTCAAAAGAAATATCCACATCTAGGGTTGTAAATGTGTACAACAATGGTGTGTGTATTTCCATTTTTTTTTAACAGGCTTTAAAAATAAATTTGAATATTTTTAGTATAAAATATTTTGAAAAGATAAATGTAAAATATTGAAATAAATTGAGGAAAATAAGGTATTCCAATAAGAATATATAAGTCGTATCTCTGGGAAAGGTGCGGGATAAATATAATGATTAAATACCATTAAAATCTAATGCTGCAGAAGAAATTAATAACATTGCAAAATGGATAGCTTTATTTCATTGATTGGGTTCAGTTTAAGTTTGATCTACGATTTATCATTCATGAATATTGAAAATTTATATTTTATATTCATCGAGTAATTAATTGATGCTATGACGTGGTATAGTAATATTAGGAGTAAGGGGTTTATTTTGCAATTTCATTAAAGTGTGTGTTAAGATTGTAGGGTTTTCATTAAAAATCAACTCTAGAGTTTTTGTTACCTAAGTTGGTTGAAAAAACAAATATTGCATAACTTGAAAATTTTCAATTCTTATATGCATCTTTAGTATCATATGGTATCAAGTTACTTGTTTACAAATAGGTTAGCTTAGAAATGGTTATCCTAAAAGGATTGCATAATAGTTTCCTAAATCGAGTTTTCTTGTGTCAAACCTCTTCCCCCACCCAAAAAAAATAAAATAAAATAAAAAAAATGAATGGATTAATTTCAGTAACAATCACTCAAGTTTGTTAAATATTTCAAAATGGTCATTTA